GGCAGTAGGCTCCAGCAGGGTGACAACTCGGCGTGAGGTGGCGTTCGTGCGTAGGATGGTCCTAGGGGACACGCATGCCGAGTCTGGTTGCACACGGATGACATGGGCTGAGGGAGATGCCGCCTTCGAGATTTTGCCCATTTCCCGGATCAAGCGCACACTGCACGTTGTGCAGTCCTTCATCGAGCCGAACACGTGGTTTCTGAACAAGTGGGCGGACCGTTGTCGTGAGGAGCACCTGTCACTGGAGTGACGCGCCGCCGAATCTCAATCATGGAGGTCAGTCGGCGCATGAATGCTCGGAGATATTTCGGCACACCTGAAATAGTACACAGTGCAAACCAACGGAAGATATTTTCCAGTGGCACCCATATAAGCACAGCTCCAACCTACAAGTATTTAATAAGGGCCGCGGCGTTACATGAGATGGTTCGCGTACAATGTGACATTGTAAAGGGAACCCACTGCCCTGGCCATTGCTGTGTCGGCCATCAAATACTGCTCTCATTCTCTCATGCCACTGCTCTCATTCTCTCATACCACTGCTCTCATTCTCTCCTGCCACTGCTCTCATTCTCTCATGCCACTGCTCTCATTCTCTCATGCCACTGCTCTCATTCTCCCATGCCACTGCTCTCATTCTCCCATGCCACTGCTCTCATTCTCTCATGCCACTGCTCTCATTCTCTCATGCCTCTGCTCTCATTCCATTTGCAACTTTCCGCCCATAGCAGCATCTTCTCACGTGCCCTCCTTGTCTCCCTCTCCCTTCCAATCCCCATATCCCATTACTCTCCTCCGCCTCCCAATAATCTCCAAACCCAACGTGCTTCATCAGGCCACTACATGGTCCATGCCATTACCTCCATCGACCCCGTTGCTATCCTCGTCACACACTACGTCGTGCGCTCCTCAAACTCCTTCCCCCTCTCAAAACGGCTTCTCCCCCAACCACAACTCGTTCGACTCTCACCCCCACGGCCGCGCCTCCTCCGACATGCTTGAGTTTTGCGCAACGCATGATTTCTCTTAAGATGTTGGGGAGTATGATGGGGAGGTGGATAGCGGGTTGGTGGGGGAGGCGGAGGAGAGTGTGAAGAGAGTGGGGAGGGTGGTGAGGGTGCTGGCCGGGGCTGTGGAGGAGGCTGGTGATGAAGGGTTGGGAGAAGGTGGGGGTGAGAGTGAGGGGATGAGTGGGGGAAGGCGGGAGGGGAAGGATGATGGGGAGAGTGAGGGTGAAATCAAAAGGGAGGTTGAAAATGAGAGTAACTGTGGAAGCGCTGGGGGAAACGGAGCGAGTAGTGAAGGAGTGAGCAGTGCGAGAGCGATTTTTCATTTGTTAGGGAGATTTTTTTGCAAGGACCGTGGATGGATTAGAAGAGTTGATGCAGGTTGGCTGTGACTGTGAGAGCGTGAAATGGGGTGGTGCGATAGTGGTGGAGATAAGATGGTTTCCGAAAAGCGAGTAGGTTTGTAACTTGGCGTATAAGCTGTGAGGATGGGCGAGAGCAGGGTCGCAATGGCGGAGGTGTATGATGGATGGTGAGTGTACGGGCAGCGGGAGGGCAAGAGAGGAGAGGAGCGGAGGGAGGGGGAGTTATGTGGAGGAGAACGGAGAGGAGGTGATGGCGGCAGATACCAGATGTTCGTTAATGATTCGTGTACGATCATAAGGGTGGGGGGGTACCAGTCGAGGGGTAGGTCGCCTAGAGTTCTTATCATAGACCGATCGCGCGCATGTGTCATGCATGGATATCACTTTGCAAGCGCGTGCCGTGCTACGTAGATACCATCACCCATGAGAGCAGTGGCATGAGAGAATGAGAGCAGAGGCATGCACCCTATAACTTGTAGTCCATTATACATATTCAAGTGTTGTCTGTGTAGGTCTTCCTTGGGAACCCGGTTATCTTTCATATGCAGTGTAACAGGTAACAAGGTCGTGACTAAATATTTGCGAGCCTCATCCCATCACAAATTGACACGCTTTCCCTATTTGGCTGCAAGGATCTCCTCCTGTTCGAGCAGTTTGAGCTAAGGCAAGATTGCGGGCCACTTTCCTGCAGCGAGGTGACTTCGGGCCGTGTTTGGGATGAGTTCGAGGGCGAGTTTCTGTAGGTAGCCCGCAGGTAACCTACGTTGGGGGCGAGTTGGGGCCACCCATGATTTTTTTGACGAAGGCGGGGAGGCGCGGATTGTGATGACAGCGGACGGAGCGGGGAAACGGGAAGACGTCATCGGGAAGACGCCGATGAGTGGGGAGGCGGCGTACGGAGGGAGGCGCAGCAGGTCGCGTAGGTGTCAGAACTAGCAGTAGAAAGTAAGAATGAAGAAAGGAGGATGTTCACTAGCAAGCAGTTGGATACATATAGCAAACCCTAATTGGGCTGTACTCACTATGGAGTACCCCATTGCAGGCTAGACAATTATAACATTCTGACACACCCCCATAGCCAAAGTGGGGTGTAATCAGCACAACAAGCAAGCATAGTAATAGTTCACAATTATAAGCAAAGCTAGAGGTAATCACAGCGGGCAAGTGAGGAGGAGGAGGGACTGTGAGAGGAGAGAAGATGAGAGACGGCGGCTGAAGCTGCAGACACACGGGCAACAGGAGCTGCTGGCACAGTGGCTACCGGGACAGTGCGCCCCGGACTACTGGAGTAACTGGCTCACGGGCTACGACGAGCTACAGGAGCAACGGACCCTCGGGCGACAGGCGCAGCAGACTCTCTGGGCTACCAGGACAGTGCGCCCCGGACTACAGGTGCTGCGGACGACAAGACAGCAGCCTCCGCTCAACCTCCTCCAACTGTCCCACACACCCCTCACACACCCACTGCTTCACTCCTAACTCCACTTGCACGTCACCCCCCTAGTACCACTCCTTCGGCTCCCACACACCCACCCCCCTCAGCGGCAGCGGCAGCACTGGGAGACGGAGGAGGAGGAGGAGTAGGGGACGACGCACAGAAACTGCACCCCCATACCCCCCACCCCAAACCCTAATTCAGGAGAACGGGCAGCAGCAGGGGTGGGGCGCCATCAGAAGCATGGGGGACAGCGGGCAGCGCAGGGGCAGAGAAAACAGGGCGCCCACGGGCCTGGCGCAGCCCGTACGAACCGCGTGCGGGCGGCCCGAGGCGCGCCCTGGCCTGGCGCAGTCCGTACGGGCCGCGCGCGGGCCTGGCGCTGCCCGTACGGGCCGCGCGCGGGCCTGGCGCAGCCCGTACGGGCCGCGCGCAGGCTGTACGGGCCGCGCGCGGGCCCTACGCAGGTAGCGCAGGCCGCGACGGGCGACGGGGGGCGACGCGCGGGTCCCCGTCGCCCGTCGCAGCGCCTCCCGGGAGCGACGCGCGGAGTGACGGGGCAGAAAGCCGCCGCGCGCCTCGGGGCGCACGGCGGGCAGAAAACCGCCGCGCGCCTCGGGGCGCACGGCGGGCAGAAAACCGCCGCACGCTCCGAGCGCGCGGCGGGATGAAAAATCCGTCGCACGCCACGGGGCGTGCAACACACAGAGTAGCAGTAGCAGCGGAAGCAGTGAGGTGGTGGGCCCACCCACAGGATCGACCCAAGGGGATCGACCTGCTCTGATACCATGTCAGAACTAGCAGTAGAAAGTAAGAATGAAGAAAGGAGGATGTTCACTAGCAAGCAGTTGGATACATATAGCAAACCCTAATTGGGCTGTACTCACTATGGAGTACCCCACTGCAGGCTAGACAATTATAACATTCTGACAGTAGGGACATCGGAAAAAATGTCCGCCCAGTTTGGGGCGGTTGACAGGCGAGGAGGTGAAGCAGCGTGGGAGTTGATGGTCATCTACCGAGTGCTGTCAACGGTGGTTGACAACCACTTTTCGGTGCGAAGGTAGGTACAGTCGGGTGGTGGTTCACGCAGCAACCACGCACGGATTCTGCAGGTTGCGGTCGTTCTACGACAGTCTCGTCAACCACATCAGCTCAATGTGTGAAGTTCGGTTGGCCACGTGGACCGTAGGAACAGCGTCGGTTGTGGCAGGGAATGGTGGTACACATCATTGCGACGAACAGTTGGGAAGATGTCGTGGTGGAGTGTACGATATGGTTACCTGAGCAACCAATGTCAAATTGTAACTAGATAAAATAAATGTTCCGGCTTGTATCAAGTAATTATATGTTTACAAAAAAAACACGAATCGATATAATCACTTTTGGGATGTATGAAATGATGTGATTGTATGCGGCAAATATCAATATATTTTTAATCGTTGCTACAAAACACAAAAGCAATATTGACTGCAATAGATTTATGGCTGATTTAATTTGGCAAAATTAAGGTAGTTATCTTTTATTTTGAAAGAGCTGCATAATATCAATAAAAAATCACTAATCACAGATTGTTAATAGGAGGCCAGGGGGTTGGAACTACCCCTGAGGGGAAGAAAAACAACTCATAGCCCTCACTCAGAATCCTAACCTTCCCAGCACCCATCTCGAACCCCATGGGCTCATCGATCTTGAACGTGGCAGGCTCCCTTTCAATTGTTTCCTTCAGCCATGCCGCAACCACCCTCGTCTTGGCATGCACGTTGGTGCGGTTGTTAGTCTCGTTGTTGTCAAGTGATGCATGGCCCTTCTTGCCCTTGTGATTCTCCAAGGGCCATTCAACCTGCCACAAATCAACTCGTTATGCTTCAAAAACAATATGCAGGGAAAAATAATATGGATAAATCTTAACTGCAAACATGTTGCACCTGGCACTGACGAATGCCTTCTTGACTGCCAGCTCGAAGCCCACATTCGCAAAAGGTCGGCCCTGAGCAGAGCATTGCCTGTCGTAGCCATACTTCGCTGCAGAGGTAAAACAATGGCAATCAGATATGGGAGCAATAACATACCAGCAAGGTGCGGGAGTTTCGAGGGAACAGAATACTCACGATGTTTAAACTTCTCAACCCACTCCTTCTCATCACGCGCCTGCGTTGGAATGATGCCACCAACCTTCAAGAGGAACCATTATTCCTCGTCAATGACGCCACCAGCACCCCACGCCCAGAGCTTGATCGGCTTGTTCATGTTCGCACGTCTGCAGCCAATCACCTTCAGTGCCCATTCAATGCGCTTGCTGTTCCCGCCCATGAAGAGGTAGTACTCATCTTGCGTGGTCCCCTCATCTATGTACTTGCGCACCAAATGCGGCTCTTCTCTTCCCACAGTGGATAGAATTCCATCTCTCCTGCAGGGGCAAGCGTGATGAGCCAGGCGAAGGCTTCACCCACCATAGCCTGACAAGCAACACAAAGAAGCAGACTGGGGGGGTACATTGAGGCACCGGACATTCTACACACACGACTGAGGAATGTAGTTTGAAAAGAACGACAGAGGGAAGAGGGGGAGGGGACGAGAGCGGCAGCAGGTGGGAAGGGTAGGGAGCGGGTTTCAAGAAACATTCAATGAGGCAAGCTTCAACAGAGCACGGCATGAAATACATTCCGGCGGAATCACATAGCGAGTAATTATACTTACATCGAATGCATCGTCGCTGCTGAGCGATGAAGGAATGATCGGGTTGCCCGCAACGTCCTTACGGACGTTCTCCTTTCGGACTTGTGAGTCAGCAGGGTCCCGAACCGCGTTCACTTCCGCGATCATTCCAGCGACTTCCGCTGAAAGCTGTCGCTGCATCGACTCGAGCTGCGGTTTAAGACGGTCACGCTCATCCTCCACCACCTTGACCTTGGTCTTTGCCTCTTGCAGCTGACCTTGAAGCACAGACACCGTGTTCTGCAGGTCACGAAGTTGCGCCTCCAGTTGTCGTGCTTCCCTGAAATGGTGCGCACCAGCAACTATTGGACACGCACGGGGGATAACACGCACCAAGAAAGGTAGTGGACACAAGGAGTTATAATGAGGGAGAGCCACGAAGCCAACGGTATAGAAGCAGTGAACAGGTTTAACATGCAAAGAAGTAAACGGAAAGTTTTGGAAAATAACACGAAGGGAAGGGAGGGAGGGGGCGAGTGCGGGCGGGGGGGAGAGAGCGAGGAAGAGATTCACGAAGCATTCACGGAATGACCAGGATTTACAGTGCAAAGTTACCTTGCGGCCGTTCACGCCTTGTATGTCCTGCCGTTTCATTCTGATGCGAGGTGGGTGGCGCCCTATCCGTTGCGCGCACCTTCGCTGCACGCAACTGCGCTGCCCGCGCCTCCGCTGCAAACGCCTCTGCTGCGCGCGCCTCCGATGCGCGAACCTCCGCAGCGCGCAGCTCCGCTGCGCGAACCTCCGCCGCGCACAACTCCGCTGCGCGAAGCTCCGCTGCGCGCAACTCGGCATCATCTCCCGCTTGGGCACCGACAGCGTCATCTGCCTCGTCGTCGTCCAGCTCGATATCGTCGCTTCCAGCTTCAATGCCGTACGCGAGGAACGGATCCACGCCTCCCTCCTCCGTGGCCTCAATGACTGCTGCCATCATGGGACCCGGGACGTACACACAGGCAGCAGAGGAAGGTGCAGGAAGAGCTCGAGTAGCTGCTTCTGACGGTGCACTGCAGCACACGCCGCCAGTGTCAAAAGCGCGCGTTACGTTAGGCGTGTTTGCCTGTGGAGACGAGATTGCGACTCCAAGATTGGCAGCGGAGGTTGCGCCTGCAGAACCAGAGGCAGAGGAGGGCGCGCCGACACAACCAGGTGCAGAGGAGGGTGCGACGGCAGAACCAGGTGCAGCGGAGGGTGCGACGGCGGAACCAGGTGAAGCGGAGGGTGCGCTGGCGGAACCTGGTGCAGCAGAGGGTGCGCCGGCAGAACCAGGTGCAGTGACGGGTGCGCCGGCGGAACCAGGTGCAGCAGGGGGTGCGCCGGCGGAGCCAGGAACAGAGGAGGGTGCGCCGGATGAACCAGGTGCAGCGGAGGGTGCGCCCGCTGAACCAGGTGCGGAGGAACGTGCGCCGGGGGAACCAGGTGCGGACGAGGTTGCGCCAGCAGGGATGTTGCCATTCGTCACGCTTGTACGGCCGCGCCCTGCGCCACCACGTTTGCTCTGGCGGCTGCCCCGACGGACTGGTGCTTCCGTCGTAACACCGTGTAGGACGCTGACGGCAGCTTTCTTACTAGCAGCTTCTTTAGCTAAAAGCTTACGCCTCTTGATTTCTTGAGTGAGAACATCGTCATCCAGCTGAGAGAGAGCTGTGGGATCAAGAAGGTTGAGATGGGAAAGAGGGTGGGGTAAGCTGACCCCTGCTAGCTCGGCTGAAACTCTTTTGCTGCTGCATGCCCAACTGATGTTTCCCGGGCCTTCTGCCATGGTGTTGTGGAAAGTGATGGTTGACGATGACTTTAGAGTACAGCGTGGAAAAAATTTGATTCGACACCAAGTTCATTCAACCATTTTAGCCCGACAATGGTTCCTCCATTTTTCCAAAAGTGAATGATTTCCGATTGGCCGATCCTTCATTTCGCACTACCCGAAGTAATTTGTTTGAGTACATCTCAAAATGGCTCGCATAAACATTCTGGCTTTCATGTTCAATGTACGCGATGTTTTTTAAGGATCGCAACGCAACACGGAGTAATCGAAACATGAACGGTGGTTTAGAAAAACTGAATCCGTACTTTAAACCATATGCCGCAAGTACGGCACTGTCACTGAAATAATTTAATCGGAGCCCGATTCGATTGAAACGGATACTATGAAGTAAAACCTAAAACGATATGGTTCAACAGATGCATTTTGGTATTTGTCCGAACGGCTGCTGAAAAGCGCGATGTCGCGGTCAAGTTGATCGCACATTGGATGAATCTTTTTTTTTTTTTTCGTCCTGCCCTACAGTCACACCTAGGGTGACAGCGTGGGTGCTGGATTCCTTTCCAAGCATGTCAGAGCTCGAGATGCAATAAGACCACATGTGTGCGACGCGGCTTGAGGCAAGGAACGGTCGAGAACGTTTCGGGACAACCCAATGCCCCGCGTTGTGGCTCTACGTGATGCCAACGCATCATGTGATACAAGGCATCAGGTGATACATCGCATCAGGTGATACATCGCATCAGGTTTTGCGCAGTATCACCACAACAGCCAATCGTTGACTTCCGCAAAGCCACGATTGCACTGGGACGATCCAACGCACCTGCGGCAGCAGTGTAGGCACATACATGTGCGTGACACAGTGCGCAGCGCAGTGTCAGTGCCCCCACCTGAGTCGGGTGACCCGTTAGGCTACTGTCCTTGCAACGACGCTGATTCGATAACGAGTGTATGGACTGATGAGTTATGATAGTAAACTGGATACCCAAGCCTTAGGAGGAAAAGGATAAACAAGCATCTACTAGTTTTGTATTGTACTTGGAATTCTCTCACTGTAAGCCTGCACAAGATTCATTAAGATAAAATATGCATCAGATAAAGCGTGTTAACCTGGGAGTCACCATGCAAACCTGTTAACCAACCACTTATCTGCGTCCTTCTGGGGGCGCATCAACTGCACTGCACGCTTGATGCTATTAATACTAATCACCCCATACCTCTGCTGAGCTGACTCCAAGTGCAATACTTTGCACTTGGTAGCTGCATCAACACGGGCCTGCTCCCGGTAGTACTTGACAAATGCAAAGTTCTTTGTTGTACCCTCGACGTTTGCATGAAACAACAAAAGGGTCTTCCCAAACCACTCCTCGTCCCCGTCTGAGCCCTCACCTTTTATCGCCACATCAGAAAACCATTGCCGACCGTGGTGCATGGGCAGGGCGCGGATGCGGTGAGGCAAACGGCTATATTGCGCATCAACCGTGGCAGGCATGGCGAGTTCCCAGTGGACCTGCATAGGTACCAACAACCATAAGAGTCAGTTTGTTGCCTTGGAACAAGGTGTGGAAACACAGTGTGGGACGCCGGACGTACATGTACATCAGTAATAGCATTCCCCTTGCCGTCACATTCTGGTGCCCTATCCAATGCAGCACGCAGGTGCTTTAAAGCCAGGATCTCAAGTACGAGAATTGGCCTTCAATTGCAAACCACTTGCAGCTCTCGTTACCCTATTTGTGTAGGCGAATTGACTGGTTGGTTAGGAAGTTGAGAGTGCGACACACCCACGTTTTTTCTCCTAAATCGAATGCAAAACACATTGTTGATACATGAGATTGTTTGGGTGTGACGAGAAATTGCTGGTTTTGGAGCTTCGTCACCGAACCAGATTCTGTGCCTCCCTGGTTCGGATTCAAACTTGCGATTTGACTGTAGTTCGCACCCCTCGCTTCACCTCTCGTCAAACTAACCACCTCGTTGACCAATCACAGGCAAGCTCCCCTCACCAACTTCCAGCCTATTTTCTTACTAGAGATCCTGGCTTAAGTCCTCGCCGATTATGGCCAGTAGAGGGCCATCGCGCTTCGGGTCCGGTACCCAAGGGTATGGGGCTGCGATACGCGTTTCAGGCACGTGCAATGTCCAAGTCCTTTTGGACAGAACCCGCTCTCCTGTTCATTGGGCCTGCACACACGGCGACCATGAACGAACCCGTGAACCTTATGATATGAGAGTTTCACTCTGGTGAGAGACGACATAGTAGCAACTGTAACGTACCTTCACCATGGCTGTGTCATACATCTTCTTCTTCTCGAGCTGTGGAGCGATGTATTGTACACGTAGCCTCGCCTCTTCGCTGCCCACGATCTGGCTATTGACTGATCTTTTGTTGGACGCCCTGTAAGGGTTTTTAATGTATTCTATGTGCAGGTGCTCGTATAATTGTGCAGAGTAATGCTCGGGCAACCCCGACCTACGAATAGAGTCTATGTAGTGACTTGTGAGGTGCATTTTCATGAAGTTCCAATCAGACGTGTGTGGGAAAGCGGTCTTGAGGTTGTATAACATCCTGCATCAAGGAAAACAACGTAGCCATTAGGTTTGGACAAATCTGAAAATATTCAAAGCAAAGTGCACCATACAACTGACCTGTGCGCCTTCGTCTTGAATTCAATGAGGGTGGTCTCGGTGTGCTCCGATGCCCGCGCGCACTCGAGATAACACTCAATGTACAAGACGAGTGCGTCCATCTGCTCCTGCGTGATAAATCCCTTCACAACGAAGGGAAGTATCTGCATAACAGAACGGTGCTCGTAGGCCTGATAGTTTGCCCCCTTTTCAAAGTACTGGCCTGATGGCAACCGCGTGTTCCCCCCCCTAATGTTCTTCTTGTAGTACCTAAGAATTCTGTCCAGTTTCTTCCTATCAGCCAAGAGATTCACATTGGGCAGCACTGCCAGGAATGGGTTCAGAATTGTGTCGGACTCCCACCTCCAACCGCTAAGGAAGCTCTGCACAAGTCAAAACCAGCCCAATGGTGTTAGTAACATAAGATGTATACGTATTGAGTAGGACCAGAACAGAAACCATAGCGATCGTTACCTGCACTGGGTGTATGGACAAGGTTGCGTCCGCATCGGGAGCGACCCGACCTTCCAGAATATCACGCACAATGGTATCTTGCTCGCACGGTGTCCGAGCATCGATACGATCCTGTAACACTGCCAAATGAGTCTTATCGACCTTGCATATCGAACAAGGGAACATGGTTCCCAACGACTTCGTGCAAGTGATCTTGCACGACTCCGGATATTCTGACACATATGCATACAAATAGGGCCACACGTTGATGCTTTCGCCTGCTGCGTTCTTCTTTGCAATGCCAGTGTAGAAATTCGTCTTGAGCGATTGCAACACCTGTCTCATGATGTAGTTATGGACTTGCATATTGTCCACCGCGTTGTACTCGGCAGTAAACTCAGGGAGAAGGGCTAGAAGCACGTGACCATAGGGTTCCCACCTGTCATCCTTATCAATGTTTCCCAATGTGAGATACACGGGATGCCCCTTCGGTTTCCCTCTATGATCCATATGCGTTTCATCGATCGCAAGGATCAAAGCAGTCACTACTCCATTCGGATCCTCCTCGCGCACAAACGTTTGCAACCTCTCCCACCAAAGGCCAGTTTCTGGGGTGCTAATCACCCTCACGTTTCCAACGTATGGAAGATCTGCATGAAACACCATCTTAGCGGCAAGCTTAGGGTGCTTCAACAAATCCTGAAGAGCAATCAAAGGATCGCAGTGCCAGAATTCAAGCCACGCTTTGTTTCGCGGCCGGATGGTCTTCCGTCGCCACCCGCGGTGGCCATCAGTCATCTTGGACTCTGCGTACGCTTGAACGTCGCGGTAGGTCTTCCAATCATGAATTTCAGGGATGGTCTTGCGGAGGATTTCCAGCAACGCATTGATCTGTTTGATCGAAAGCCGGTTGGAAAGGATCCAATGCGCAAGAACATCCTTGAGGTTGAACTTGGGCACCTCTTCCTCTGCCGGTAATGCTGCACCTGCTTGAGATGCTGGCCCCCCGTCTCCAAAAGCACTCGAGGCACCAGCATTACTAGTGGCATCGTCATCATGTTCAAAAGGAAGAACACTATCTACTGAGTCAGTGCATGATGTAGTGTCACTACTATGGTGTGCAGCGTCATCACATGGCATTTCAGGTGCATCATTACACACATCTGCATCAACACTCGGTCCTACAAAGGATTGCGTAGGCTCCAGCCGAAGTATTGCTCGCGGTATGGGATTCGGAGGGACGAAACCCGATTTTGCACGCTTTGGGGCCTGGTGTTGGTCGCTGCTACTGACGAGGTTGGCAGGGCAGGCGTTGCTCTGCATGTGCCGACCCAGCCCTGACAGTGTCTCGAAGGAACAAAGCCGGCATCTCGGACATAGGAAGGACATCTGCCAAGCAAGCCGTAAGATAGGGAGCATGGTAGAAGAGGAGAAGGGTGAAAACAGAGAAGAAAAGCACCAGGCCGGAGCACCAGTCCGCGAAACAGAGAAGCCGAGCATAGGAGGAAAGGAGAAGTGTGAAAAATGAGAAAATACGGGCACAAGAAGGGAGGAGTAGGCGGAGCACAGAGGGGACGAGTGACGGGAGAGAAAAGGCGCACGGGCAGAGAGAAACATAGGGGAATGAGAGTGAAGGCGCACGGGAGGAGAGAAACAGAGGGGATTGAGTGAGAAGGCGCACAGGAGGAGAGAAACAGAGGGGATTGAGTGAGAAGGCGCACGGGAGGAGAGAAACAGAGGGGATTGAGTGAGAAGGCGCACGGGAGGAGAGAAACAGAGGGGATTGAGTGAGAAGGCTCACGGGAGGAGAGAAACAGAGGGGATTGAGAGAGAAGGCGCATGGGAGGAGAGAAACAGAGGGGATTGAGTGAGAATGCGCACGGGAGGAGAGAAACAGAGGGGACTGATGGAGAAGGCGCACGGGAGGAGAGAAACAGAGGGGATTGAGTGAGAAGGTGCACGGGAGGAGGAAAACAAAGGGGATTGAGAGAGAAGGCGCACGGGAGGAGAGAAACAGAGGGGATTGAGTGAGAAAGTGCACAGGAGGAGGAAAACAGAGGGGATTGAGGGAGAAGGCGCACGGGAGGAGAGAAACAGAGGGGATTAAGTGAGAAGGCGCACAGGAGGAGAGAAACAGAGGGGATTGAGTGAGAAGGCGCACGGGAGGAAAGAAACAGAGGGGATTGAGTGAGAAGGCGCACGGGAGGAGGAAAACAGAGGGGAATGAGTGAGAAGGCGCACGGGAGGAGGAAAACAGAGGGGATTGAAAGAGAAGGCGCACGGGAAGAGGAAAACAGAGGGGATTGAGAGAGAAGGCGCACGGGAGGAGGAAAACAGAGGGGATTGAGAGAGAAGGCGCACGGGAGGAGAGAAACAGAGGGGATTGAGTGAGAAGGCGCACGGGAGGAGAGAAGCAGAGGGGGTTGAGAGATAATGTGCACGGGAGGACTGAACCAGAGGGGAATGAGAGCATACGCGCACGGGAGGAGAGGAGTAGTAGGGGAAAGGAGAAAATGAGCAAGGGAGGAGAGGAACAGAGGGGAATGAGAGGTCTCGCGCAAGGGAGGAGAGGAGTAGAGGGGGATGAGACTAAATGCGCATGGGAGGAGAGGCGCAGAGGGGAATGAGAGTGAACGGGCACGGGAGGAGATGAGCAGGGGGAATGAAGCGAAATGCGCATGGGAGGAGAGGCGCACAGGGGAGCGAGAGAGAAGGCGCACGGGAGGAGAGGGACGGAGGGGAATGAGAGAGAAGGTGCACGGGAGAAGAACATACGAGGCTACATGCGCACGGAGGAGAGGAACAGACGAGAATGAGACAAAGTGCGCATGGGAGGAAACCAGAGACACGTCGCGAAGAGGAGGTTCCGGCGAGCCGAGGAATGGGGACGACGCGCGGATGCAAGGAAGAAAGGATCGAGGCGCGGAAGGTAGGATCGCACGAGCGAGAGCAAGAAACGAAGCGCGGAAGGTAGGACCGCACGAGCGAGAGCAAGTAACAAAGCGCGGAAGGTAGGACCGCACGAGCGAGAGCAAGTAACGATGCGCGGAAGGTAGGACCGCACGAGCGAGAGCAAGTAACGATGCGCGGAAGGTAGGACCGCACGAGCGAGAGCAAGTAACGATGCGCGGAAGGTAGGACCGCACGAGCGAGAGCAAGTAACGATGCGCGGAAGGTAGAATCGCACGAGCGAGAGCAAGTAACGAGGCGCGGAACGGAGGATCGGACGGGAGAGGGGATGGGAACGAGGCGCGGATGCAAGGGACGGACGAGAGAGGGAAATGAACGATGCGCAGGGAGGACCGGACGTGAGAGAGAAAGAAGTGGGGCATGGAAGGAAGATCAGGCGAGAGAGAGCAAAGAACGAGGAGTGGGAGGGTAACATCGCACGGTAGAAGGAACGAGTCGCGGATGCAAGGAACGGACGAGAGAGGGAAACGAGAGAGGCGCAGATGCAAGGAAATGAGGGAAACGAGCGAGGCGCGGAAAGGAGCATCGGACCAGGAAGAGCAATGGACGAGGCGCGGAATGGATAATAAGACGCGATGAAATGAACGCGCACGGATTCAATAGCCCCGCGTCGCGTTTAGATTAAACGGGCATGGGAGGATGAGAGCTCTACGAAGGGAGAGTCTGGACCGCATGTAAACGAGGCGGCTAGGATACGCACCTTAGATACTCCTCATAGGGCCGAAAATCCTGAGAAGAAACGCGACCTGGATCCACCCGAAAACGCTGCTGAACTGTGGCGAGAACACATTGCGGTGCTAGTACGACGGATGGCCTAGTGTGCTGCGATACAGGCCATGAAAATATCGCGTCGGGGGTATTCACACCAACTAAGTCTAACTTGGTCTGAGTACCTCATACCTGTAGTCATCACGAATGTCGAGAGAATCTGCAAGAGATGGAGAGTGGAATCTCTGCTCTAGCCGGAATTCGTGGGTGATGGGAGGACAATATCACTTCATTTGGGTGGAATGAGATGATGTGCATGCTAGAGCGCGTTGATAAGAGTTCATTGCGGTTGGGTAAGGTTTGGTGACAGAGCAACGTAAAACTGGAGCTGGAACTGCACCAACCGGAGGGGAAATTTCTGGTTGCATGCAGTTACCAGTGGGATAAACCAATGGACACGCGTGGTTGAAAGACGGGAAAACCCGACACTTTCAAAATGGGCGCGAAGCCAATTTTCCTGACAGCTGCACCCTCAATTCTAGCTCCCACACCTAGATTTGCGGAACTCCCTAAAGCACCAAGCATGGAAGCTTATAAGCAGCAACATTCTCAATGGTAACAGTAGCTGTAACCATTAAAGTAACTGAAATAAAACCCTAGACTGATAAAAAATAAATACATTCTACTACACAAGTTCTTTATACAAACAAAGTATAGGCAACACTCACATTAAAGCAAATTTAGATTACCAAAACTATGAAAAAACCAAACTCTGAAACCACATAGTTACAAATAAACAATGTACGGTACATAATTAAACTATGTAAAAACACCATTTTTACAAAATTACGGGACAACTTCAACTGTATTGCAATGCACACAATCGGAATAAAACACCAAGCCTGTTTGTGATGGGCGCCTTGTCAAATGTTCTATATCGTTTATATATAGCTAGGCATTCTAGGCTGCAGTGAGTTGCTCTTTAAAGGGTACAACACTTTGATTTGGTCGACACTTTGTATCCTCTCCCCATCCTCTCGACACTTCTCTCCTAGCCTAATTTAAAGCTGAAGTATACATTTGTCGGCAGGGTTCAGGGTTTAGGGAGTGCGCCCCACAGGTTTGGGGCAACTTTTCAAATTTCAAAAGATTTTGAACCCCTCCTTTCAAATGTATACCGGAGCTTTAAAGCCCGCGGCCCAAATTGCAAGCCGCGCGGTTCAAGTATTTAAAACTTGTTCCCCTGACTTTCGGGTTACCAAGTTTCTGGGAGACAGAGGTCCGCGCGACACAACTCAGGCTGTGAGCCAATGAGAGTTGACTACCCCTATCTTGTGAACCAATGAGATTGAACACAATTGCCTTCAGTCGCATACCAGGGTTCGGCAGAACCAACACACACCCAAAAACTTGAAAACGAGGGTGTGCAATTTGGGACTCTTGGACACAAACAAGTACCTTCCGCACTAACAAAAAAGCCCACGCACAACTCGAACGCACAGTAGGAACGGCCATGGCACGCCTGCTCTCAATCGTAATGCTATATACGATGAACTATGGGGCGCCAGCAGCGGAAAATAGGGGCATTGATGGTACTGGTGCTATTGCCTGTTTCTGGCACCTCCGAGCAGAGCGCACATCCAGACGATGCGACGGCGATGGTCGCGTTCGTCGTATGGCCGAAGGTCGTTTAGATAGTAGTCCCAACCATGCCGGCACTCCGTCGACTTGCCATGTCGACGAAGCTGCTCGCAGCTTCGTACATCGCGCTGCGTCACCTCGCGCAGCGTTTCGACGCCTTGCGCCTCGACGCGCTGCGTCTCATGGCGTAGACAGAGATCGCGTGGGGTTTCATCGCGCATCCTGAGGAAGCTCTCTACGCCTCGGACCGGAAAAAAGCCGTGTCGTCATTCGAATCGCACAAGCGACCTCATGGAAATCCGCGCAGCCCTTTGGTTTACGGTCCGTATTTGAAATGATCACTGCGCAAACAAGTACCCAATGCAAAGTATGCGATGTTCCCTGTACTTTCCCGTCGCCTGAACTTCCCCCTCCCGTCGCCTCCACTTCCCCCTCCCGTCGCCTCATCTTCCCCATCCCGTCGCCTCATCTTCCCCCTCCCGTCGCCTCCTCTTCCCCATCCCGTCGCCTCATCTTCCCCATCCCGTCGCCTCATCTTCCCCCTCCCGTCACCTCAACTTCCCCCTCCCGTCGCCTCCACTTCCCCCTCCCATCGCCTCAACTTCCCCCTCCCGTCGCCTCCACTTCCCCCTCTCGTCGCCTCATCTTCCCCCTCCCGTCACCTCATCTTCCCCATCCCGTCGCCTCATCTTCCCCATCCCGTCGCCTCATCTTCCCCCTCCCGTCACCTCAACTTCCCCCTCCCGTCGCCTCCACTTCCCCCTCCCATCGCCTCAACTTCCCCCTCCCGTCGCCTCCACTTCCCCCTCCCGTCGCCTCCACTTCCCCCTCCCGTCGCCTCCACTCCCCCCTTCCGTCGCCTCCACTTCCCCCTCCCGTCGCCTCCACTTCCCCCTCCCGTCGCCTTCCCTTTCCCTTCCCGTCGCCTGAACTTCCCCCTCCCGTCGCCTCCACTTCCCCCTCCCGTCGCCTCCACTTCCCCCTCCCTTCGCCTCCACTTCCCCCTCCCGTCGCCTGAACTTCCCCCTCCCGTCGCCTCCACTTCCCCATCCCATCGCCGCCACTTCCCCCTCCCGCCCCCTCCACTTCCCCTTCCCGTCGCCTTCGCTTCCTGCTCACTCTCTCCCCACTGTCCCCATTTCCCCTCCCCACCCTTCCCCGCCGCCCGTCCGTGGGCAGCAAAGTGGCGTCCCTTTTGCGCCATCGTGATCAAAGCTCCTTCCGTCGCCACCCTATTCTTCTCCTCGCACCTCCCCTCTCCTCACCTCATTTCCCTCCTCTCCCCTTCCCTCTTCGTTCCGCCGCATCCTCTCATAGCCTTGCGTCCCCTACGTCCCATAGGCTCTCTGTATTCTTCTCTCCTTTCCGCCCCTCCGTGTGGGCTCCCCCTCTGCAATATTCACTTCTGTCCCGCTCCCGTGCCACGGTCCTCGCCATCGAGGTCGAGTCCGGGCCTGGCTCCTCGTGTGAGGGGTGTAGCAAACTTTCTCTCCTTCCATCCCCCCTTTCCATCCTCCTCCCCCCACTCTCCCCCTCTCGCCTCTCCTCCCCACCCAGGCGAGTGGCGATCTGGCGGCACTTGCGCGTGTTTTACGCACATGTGGCAATGAGTGCGCAGCTCATATCGGCGCCCTCAGGCCAGGCCAGGCCCCAGGGTAGCAGTGCGCTCTCTGCTCACTGCTGCCATGATGGCTTGTCCATCGCCTAACGTCCGTGAGATCCCTATCTCGCCCTGACGGGTATGGTTGGTTGGTCTGTCACACTGCGCTCGGGCTCATTGGCAGCAGCGCCTTTTGGGAGCAGTCATGACGCGCACATGAGTTGCGTTGTACCTACACAACTCAATGACACCAACACAGGGTGTAGAAGGGGACGCCATGCATAAAACGAACCCCCAAACCTCACAACCGCCCTTGGCTCTTCCCCACCTACTACGCTGCACCTGGGCTCCCACTCACCTCCTCACCTCCTCTCCTCCTCCTTTCCCCCTCCCGTCCTCCTCTCACCCCTCCTCCCTCCCCAGCAGCAGGGTGGGTGAGCAGCGGGCGGGGTGGGTGAGCAGGAGGCGGGCGAGTGGATGGCGGGCGCACACCACGCAGTAGGGTAGGCGTGGCGTAAAGCTGCGGTGCAGATATCGCTGCTCAACTTCGAGGTATATATGCTCGAAACGCTGAGTTACCCAGTGTACACAGCGTAACCAGCAGACATAGGTTTCTGGCAGTTGGTGACGGGTATGCGAAAAATGCCCCTTCGCATGATGAGTGGGGAGAAAGCTGGGGAAGGCTTAGTGTCATGTCTCAAGCGCGCCGTGTCATGTCTCGAGCGCACCGACAATTCCGGCAGCAAGTTCAGCCGAGTGTCACTACTTTTCCGGCCCGTGCCATCATGGCGGGGACGCACCAATAATCCCCTCACCGGCCTTTTTGAGTTTCGACATCAAAAGGAACGGCTCTGTGGAGTTCAAGCATGGGCAGCGCTATGCCAACAGGCGCACCAACTGGGATGCCACGGAGCCTGGCCAGGGCGGCACTGTCAGACGCCAACCTCTCTCCCCTCCCCCTCCTTAATCCCCTCCTCCTCTGCCTCTCCCCTACTCCCCATAACCTCCTGCTCGCCTCCCTCGCCGTGAGGTCTAAGGAACCTCATATTCCCACATCGGCTCGTGTCTCCCCCACATCTCCCCCCTCTCTCCTCCTCCTCCTCCTCCCCCCACCCACTGCCGGCCCGCCTGCCAACCTCATCCACATTTCTTCCCCCCATCCGCTATCATCAACGCCCTATTAGGACAAGCCGTAGAGGGAGGGCCTCCTCACGCACCCTCGAAACCCATCTCTCCCCATCTCCCCCCACCTCAACCCCCCCCTTTCCCACACTTTCCCCGTCCCCACCCTCCCTACTCTCCCCACCTCTGTCCCCCTTCCTACCCCAGGCGAGGCCCCCTCTCCCTCTACCCCACACTCTTGCTTCCTCACCCGAGCTCCCACTCACTCTTTGCACGCTGCTCTCTTCTTCC